ACACCACACACACACGCACACCACACACACACACACACGCACACAAAGTGAACGAGAATCAGTTCTGACCAGTGCCTTCCCAGGTATCCTGGGCTCCTCATGAGCTGCCCCAGGCACCTGGTGTCACCAGTGGCCCTCTGCTGCCCTGTACCCAGCCCTGTCCTCCCTGCACAGTGCCCATACTTCACCCCATCAAACTCACACCCTTAGCTAGCTGATCTGGAGAAGCATTTTATGAAATTAATTCCTGTTAAGGTATAAATAACTAATGTATTGGGTTGTCAGAAAAGTCATGACATATTTTTTCTGTTTTTCATTGCAAATATGTGTCATTAACTTTTACGACAACCCAGTATTACCTGTCTATGGATGCTTACATGTTGCATAAGAGGCTTAAAGAGAAATGTTTCATCTAAACTCCTCTAATGGTAAAATTTAGGCACAACAGTCAGTGAATTCCACCTTTTAGGGAGCCCTTTCTATAGCCCTCCAATCCCATCCCACTAACCGTTTCCCACTTCATCTGTTTCATAAGCTGGCTCTGACCCTATGGTGGGGCTGAGATGGCTCCTGCATTTGTAGAAATGGAGGTTAATGCTGATAAAATGATGTGGAAGGTCCAACTCCTCAATCTGTCAATTCGCCTGGAACAGAACCAAATAGTTTATGGAGAGGGAGCGGCCCTTCATCCATTTCTGGTCAGCATTTACTTAGGAAGGGGGTGTGCATTATCCTCAGTGTCTGAACCAAAGCAGTGCAGGGAGTGGGAAAAATTGGCTTCAAGACATTCCTAAGACCTCTGCAGAGACCCAAGGCATATAGCCCAGTATTTTCAAGAATGCCCAAAAGCACTTAATAATCAGTGTCTGTATAACCTTCCTAAAAATAACGGCTTCAAAACTGACTTCTTACACTGTTGACAAAGGACTCTCTGATTTGGTCCCATCCAAGATAAGAGCCTCTCTGTAAGAATAAAAGCATGTGTCAAGATAAAAATGGAAGTGGAGCCAATGGGACAGAAGCCAGCCTTCACAACCAAGTATCTAAGAAGCCAAGAAAAGAACAGGAAAAGGCACCCCTCAGATGCTGCCAGTACCACAGGGTCAAATATAGGGGTTTCTAAATCAATACTTCTCAGGCCGGCAGAGAGGCGTGTTGGTTAAGAGCTGGCTTGGGATGCCAGAGGGCCCAAATACACAAAGCCGACTTTATAGCTGTTCCTGGCCCTGCAGACCCTGGGGGAGAGTGCACCGGCCCACCTTCGGGCCGGGATGTGGTTCTGTGGGAAGATTTAATGTCCCCAAGGCACACCTTCTCCTCCTCCGCGACCCTCATTTGTTTTAAGACAGGCCAAGGAAGCTCTGGCTTCAGGAACGTGGACCCACGCTTCTGGACTGCTTGTACGTGGGACCTGTTGACTGGTACCTCTACTAGGTTGTGGAAAGCACGTGCATAAACCGGAAGACAGCTTCTTTCTCTTTGCTTTAGTGCTGCATTCACCCAAACAAAGCAACTGGAAAGGCTGAAGAATGAGCAGTGGTAATGTAGAAGCAGGATAAGAAAGCAGGAGCAAAAACTCATTCTCCTATGTGACCATGGTCTTTGGTTGGATTTAAGGAAACCCACCCCCCAACCCTCGCCCCAAACTGGCTTCCATGAACTCAGCCACCCAGCAGTTCCTAAAACGACCCAGGTCCCATTTTGGCTCCAACAACTCAGGTGAAACACCACCTTGGAGGCTGCTGCTCCCAACCCACAGGATGAAGCAAACTGGTGTCAAGCCAATCAGGGTGTCTCTCACTGATTCCAATATACTAAGAAGTATGGGGAAAACGGAAAAGCACTGATTTAAAAGCTTCTTATTAAAATTATTTAAACCTAAACTCTGTTTTAAAACATGCTCAAGCCACTCAGAAATACTTCTATTACCTCTGAGTTGTCTATTGCTTGCTCCCTTACTGCCTATATATTTAGATGTGTGTTCAATCCTAGGGCTGACCAGGGCTCCCTGTGTGTGGTTGAGGACTCTCTCTCCCAGGACAGCTAAGAGGGCTGGCTGCTCATGGCTGCAGGCTGTCATTTAATACATTACTGCTCCATGACCTAGAATCACCTACTACTCAAGAGGAAAACAATGACACAGACTCCTAACTTATCCTTTTCTTTTTTTTTTTTTTTTTTTTTTTTTTTTAGCTGAGCCATCCCGCCACCTGTTGGCAGCTCACGGCTGCTCAGCTCGGGCTGACTCGAACCACTGTTGCTCAGAGCTCAAACTCTTGAGCGAGCTCTTAACCAACTGAGCCACTCAGCCGGCCCTCTAACTTATCCTTTTCAACAGGGGTAAGAATCTAAACTCCTATTGACTTAATAGATTATGGTAAATTCTCAATTATGTGTGGTAATATGAGCCAAAACAGCCATGTAATTAATCCAAAAAGGAACTCGACAAATCATTCCACTGGTTTAGGAATACATTATACTTTTTGTGTGTGTGCCATAGTTTACCAAGGCATTTTTTTTTTCTCAGACTAACATTCATTCGTTCATTGAAAGTCTGTTCCATGCCAGCAACCATGCTGGGTGGGAGATGGCAGCAAAAAGAACGCACAGACTAGAGGAAAAAATGGGCACAAAGCAGTGAAGCTCACCGTGGCAAGTGCAGTGTGTTGTGCAAGCAGAGAAGCAGCAATTCACTGGAAAGCTGGAGAAAAAAGGCCATGTTCTGAATAACCTCTCATTCAGATAGTCTGATAAATAAGTGAAATTTTGGCTGGGTCTTAAATGAGGAAAAGAAATTCTAAATCAGTAACTCAAATGGAGGGGAGAAGGGTGTCCAGCGCAAAGGAAGAGTGTTAGGTGATGAGAGAAGGCCAGCAACGCCCAGGAGACAGCTCAGTAAACATCTTCACCCAATAACTCTCCACAGGGGCAGGGGACCATTTTACATCCTTCTTAGAGGAGATGTGGTCCTACATTTAAGAGTTTTCTTTTTTAATGGATGAGAACTTTGGTTGTTATCAGAGTGCGTCATCATGGCTAGCGTTTTCCCACAACCAACCTGAGCATGAGCAGCCCAGGAAACAACCCCTTACCTGTATGAGAAGGAGCTTCTTAACCACAGGAAAAGCCACAGGCCAGCTGTGAACTCAAGAGTCTGCTTCCCAGTTTACCTGAAAAACAACATGAAAGGGCCATTTTGTTAACTTGGAACGACCAGTCTTTTTACCAGTCCCAGTAGAGCTAACTGCAGACCATGTCTCTGGCTCCTCGGCCTCAGGGCAGAAAATCTGGCCAGCATCACACGGCCAACAGGTTGGATCAAAGAGACCTGGGTGGGATGCCTGGTTCTATAACTCAGCGGCAGGGTAACTGTAAGCCAGGTCCTTAACCTACTTGTGCCTCAGTTTCCTCCCCTGCAATAGCTACCCCACAGATTGATTAAGAAGGCCTTGTACACACCAGAAACCATGCCAAGCCTGCAGTCGCATGAATGGGATAGGTTCCCTGCTCTCAGGGCACTGACAGTTCACAAAGACAAAGAAGTAAACAGGTGGTAATCATGACCTCGAAGCAGCTGACAGGAACTAAAGTGAGGAAAATACAAGGTGACAGACAGGGAGCTTTTGCAGAGGCGCCTGCTGACCCCTGAGAGGTTAAAGGGAGCTCCCCAGAGCACTGGATGGCTAAACTGAGGTCTGAGAAGCAGGAGTTGGCCAGACTAAGAGGGCAAGCAAAGAGCATGCCAGACAGAGGGGGAGGGAGTGGGCGACAAAATGAAACGAGATACCTCAGATGCAAGAATAACAGTGAGTTCACAAGTGAAAGGAGTATTTCAGAAGCCAAGAGGGAGACAGACAGGCAATCAACAGAGCTGTAGAGGTAGGTGATCAAAAAAGGCGTGCAGCATTTGAGGATCATTTCAACTGTATGATAAGGCCCCTGGCAAGCCCAGGAAGGGTACGACATAGGAGAGTGGCATGGCTCAGAAAGCCTCCTGCAACACCAGAGAGAAGAGGGGATTAGGAGGAGGCAATGAAAGCCCATCTCGGCTACCTCAAACGCCACATCCCTGGTCTGCTGTAGAGAGGACCAAGAGAGAAGACCCTAGGGTAAGAAGAGAGTTAGGGTTCCCTCCGGCATGCCGGTAAGACACTGCTTCTAAACTACAGGTGCCTCCAGCGTTAGGTGATTCCCCCAGGCAGACACCCCATCGGGAGCAGTCTGCCTGTCCCAGCACACCCTCTAGAAGGTGGAGGAGTGCCTGGGTATCACAGCTTCCTCAAAGTGTGGTCCCCTGGCCAGCAGCCTCAACATCACCTGGGAATGTGTTACAAATGCAAATTCTTGGCCCATCCCAAACCTAGAGACTCAAAATCTCTGGAGGGAGTGTGGGTCCAGCAATGTGTGTTTTTACAAGCCCTCCAGGTGACTCTGATGCTCCCTAAAGGTAGCAGGAACTAAATGAGAGCAGTGCCAGTGTTGGGGGGTGGGGGAGAGCAGGGTGCTGAGTGCAGAGCTGGCCTAGCTTGATAACCCAACACTGCCTTTGTGTTCAAGGGCCTCACACGCTATAGGGTCTGTGCCGTTCATTTCTGTTTAAAAGGAAATACACAAAGCCGACTTTATAGCTGTTCCTGGCCCTGCAGACCCTGGGGGAGAGTGCACCGGCCCACCTTCGGGCCGGGATGTGGTTCTGTGGGAAGATTTAATGTCCCCAAGGCACACCTTCTCCTCCTCCGCGACCCTCATTTGTTTTAAGACAGGCCAAGGAAGCTCTGGCTTCAGGAACGTGGACCCACGCTTCTGCTTTTAGACAACATTTCTCTTCTCTCCTAGCCATGGAATCTGACCACTCCAGAACAGAAACAGAGAGGCCATCCGGAAAGCACCGTGTGGTTTTATCAGAGGGTCAGGTTTCCTTCTGGAGTGTGGAACAAACTCTGTGGTTACAGAGATACCGACACCTAGGAGCCATAAAGTGATTCAGGGTTGAGGAGAGCTCAGTTCAGCTGCCTCTCAGAACATCTATCTTCTCGCTATAGGAAAGATAAAACTACTCCTCCCCCGCAAAAAAAAAAAAAGCATATTTCTATAAAGAGCAGGCAAATTCTCACATTCTTGCTTATGTTTCTATAGCTCTTGCTTTTCTTTATAAAAAGGGGCGAAATGCGGTTCAAAACATAATAAAAACAGTGTTCAGATCAACACAGGTCATGGTGATGCCCTGCATGTTGCAACCACCCTCAGCTTCCAAGGTGTGTGTGGCGAAGGTGGCTGAGCTGCAGAGCCTCTAACAGGTCAAGGAACCGTGTGTGGCCCCTGTACTCCCAGCACACACGTAGTGCTTCGGAAATCCCTACTGCCTTCCCTTACAGCACCCTTTGCCTGCACACCCCAGCTCTCCAGCCTCCTTACCTGCCCACATGTGTGTGTGGTGCCCACACCTGAGGGCCTTTCACATGTCCCACATGGCCAATTTGTCCTGCACTCCACATCTTGCTAAGCACACTGAAGATAATGGCTATTCTGCCATCTCCCCCACCAGACTGTAAGATCCCTGAGGTGCTTAATAAGCATATGTTGAATAAATGACTGGACTCATATAGAATGAGAATTTCGGGCCTGGAGGCCATCCCCTCATCTTTTCTAGCCCAAATAGGTGCAATGACTTGCCCAAGGCCACAGGGCTCATGGTGACACCAGGGGAGGCGGTAGAGATTTGCTTGCACTGCTTTCTAACATTCTGGGGCTGTTCTCACTTTTCTTGGGTACCTGTAAACCATAACCCCTTAAAGACAAAAGCATTGTATTTGTGATAAGAATGGATTCATTTTGTGTGTGTGTTTTACTTTGAGACCCTGCCCAAGAGCATGCAGGAACATCTTGTGAATCTTAGAATTGGGGACACTAAGCACAGTCTCAGGGCAGAGCAGGGACTCTACGGGGAGCAGGGGCAGGAAATGGTTGTGGGCGGAGGAGTGGGTCAATCTTGGTAAAGGTTCCCAGAACGCTGGTCCCTGGGATGTAGTTATGTGTTGGTTTGGGAGTCCTCAGGTAAGAGAGGCAAAAAGCATCTCCCTTTTCATCTCCATGCTGTTCTGAAAACACACTGTATCGTTCAAACAACCTTTGGCTTTGGCAGTAGAATATTCAAGTTCAGAGTTTCATTTTGCTAGCCAGGAGCTGAAAACTCCTGGAAAATATAAATATTTTTTAATAGATATGAGAGAGACAGCATGCACTAAAGCACACTTTCTAGGTGGCATGGGTCTCAGAAGAGTCAAGCCCTTCTCCTCAAAACAGACTAGGAAAAGCCCCTCGGTGGTGAAGGGAGGGTTTCTGCTGCGGGCCAAGCTCACCTGTGATGCAGGGACAGAAGCAGGGTCATTTCCTGAGCTCCTTTCTCAAAATAAAATAGGCTAAAAAAGGGGCAAAATGATCCCAAGTACAATTATGTTTAATCTTAATTTTCATATATAGATCACCTGGCTTTTCATTACAACTGGTCAAGTATATGTGAAATAGCCATATTAGACAGAACTATGACAGGTGCATCATCAAGGATATTAAACACACACACACACACAC